CAGACTCTTCTGCCCAATTTCTTTTCTGATCTGTTCCCTGCCTTAGCCCTTCGGTTCAATCCAAGTCATCCCTGTTTCTTCACTGCTCCTTGGCAAAGAAACCACTGTTCAGCTGAGCATCCTTAACTGGCTATTCCATTCTGCTGCCTGTTTCCCATCTCAGTCTCTTTCTTCCCATCGCCCTTCCAGTCTTGCTCTTCCCTGCCTGCCTGGCCCTCGAGTGCTGCCTGTGGCTGCAGCCAGGCCGCCTGGCAGAGCAGTCCCTTGACACGTCCAGCTCTGGTCCCAGGTGCCTTTTTCCATCCTAGGTAACCACTCACCTCTCTGCTTCCTCTTTGATCAAATTTGATTCTTCCTCTTCTCTCTGTGTAGAGTTTGGAGCAATGAGTCCAGTCAACCATCTCCTTTCTGTCTCCAGCTTTTTTCTGCTGTTTCAATGCAGCATATTTATTTCTAGTAAATAGCATGCATTTATATTCAGTGTGGATTGTTTATCAAATGGAGCACTAGCTCAGTGCTGTTAATATCCAAAAATGTTTTAAAACTTTTCTTGTGTTTAAGAGTAGTTTGGGAAATCTAGAATGCAAAATACAGTCTAAGGCACTTTAAACAGGGGAGCATGAAGATGGCTAAGGGGAAAAAGAAGTTACTGTTAATTGAGCTGTGAAGGGGAGGTCAGACCCATGACTGTGTCTGGCAAACTCAGCTCATGCTCTAAATTCTTGTGCCTGCTGGAGAAGCTGAAAATTGCAAAGGCGACTTGTCTGAGTAGCTTATGATATTAAAGAAGGTGCGAAGCACACTCATGCCCAGACTCAGCGCAGGGAGCTGGTAAATACATTCTTAGTGTTTGAAAGTTACGTTTCTTTTTTTCTCTGCTTTTTGGAGTGGTTAAAAAAGGGTTAAACATGTAAGAAGTGGAAGGGGAAGAGTTTTCCAAGAGGTGCCTCATGCCATGGGCTTTCAGCTGGTACCAACCTGCCAGTGCATCTGCTCGCTTGGGTTTTCTTCACAGGTACAACAAAAAGGTCTCTCTTTATTTTACAGTTGAAAGAAATTCAGTAGTCGGGACTAATATTTGACCTGTTTTTCTAGTGCAAGGTTAGACGTGAAACAGGAAGATTTTGTCATGTTTATGTCAGATGAACGAACCACAGGGCTAGATTGGGAGTTACTGTAGGATCCTGATTACATCGGAGCTGGGCATATGCTAATAAATGTAATTGGTGCTTTAACAGGGCATAGCTGAGGAGATTTCATATCAAATCTGGTAGCGAAGAAGAAATTAGATGGAAAACTGAATTAGAATTGGCAGTTTTCTAAGTGAAAGCTATTAAATGGCCAAAACCCCAACAATTTTGCAATCAAGAAGGGGGACAACTTTGGCTGACCGCCCATCCTGTTTCAGTGATGAAATGAAGGGAAAAATTAGATGTAAAGTAATATAAAACAAATAAGAAAAAGGGAAGCAGACAGCAATCAGCTCGAAATGAGAGTTATGAAGTGTAGAAAATTAATAAGGAAAGCAATAGAGGAATAAAAAAAGGTATGGGTTGGAGTGCTTGGAGAGGGGGATAGAGTTGAAGTTCGGAGGAAATCTTTATGGCAGGATAAGGACCATTACGTGGTGCAGGTGGTAAAAGCGCTAGTGATGGTGTAGGAGAACTGGAAAGGTGGCGTCATTCATGAGCAATGCTCGTATTTAAAATCAGCATTTCGAGGTTCAGTGGGTCTAGAAAACTTGTAGCAGTTCTGAGGGAGATCTCTGACCTGCTGCTGAGGAGGATGGCAGAGGACCAGAGGGCTGGATGCCGTGCTTAGGCAGCCTGGCGCGCCCAGGGAAGGGATCAGAAAGGAGGTGATGTTAACGAAGGAGCGTGGTGGTGGTCGTTGCATTCTTTGTTTTCGGTGTTTTCTGGGATTAGAGGAACCTGGGTGCATCTGGCCCCTGCACGGCTCGGTGTCCTCTGACAAACCTGGCTTGTAGGAAGTCGTTCAAAGAGATCCATGAGATGGGTTCTGCTGGGACCCGATACCATTCAGTGGTTCCAGGTCACTGGTGAAAACGGATCCAAAATCACCACTGATAAAATGTTAGCATGACAAAAATACCCATACTCAGACCACAGTAAGAGCTCCTTGTGTGTTCCCAGTGCAGTCCCAGGGTGAAAGACTAATGAATAAGAATGTGGTGGTGGTTTTAATTACCGTTAGCAGTAAGTGATTGTACTTCTGTATGCCTCAGCTGTGAGAGCTGGGAATTTTGGATACAATTTGGATATGTACATTTTGAAAGGAAGCTGAGTAATTGGAATGGATGCAAAACAAAAAGATTCAAAAATTACTGGTGGAGTGTGAAAATGCCTTGGAGAGGGTGAGAGAGAAAAATCAGTTGGCTGAGTTTACCTACCAAACTTGAGAATGTCTTGATTACAGTGCACAAGTACCTTCACAGGGAGAAAATAACGCTGCAGCTCTCTGATCTTAAAAAGAGCAACACAACAAGAATCACTGACTGGTAACAGAAGCCAGGCAAATGCAAATTGGAAAAAGGCACAAAATCGTAAGAGAAAATAGCTGTGTAATTTAGGAATGTTTCTCCAAAAACTGTGAACAGAACAATAAAAGTGATGATATTTATGCAAATAGCTCTTTCATGGCTGGTTTTTCTTTCAGAAGTGAACTTTAAAGGGGGGGAAGCAGAGGCCAGAGAGGCTCCTGCTGAGGCTTTCACAGGGAAGCGCAGTCAGCAGAGCCCGGCTGTTGTGCAGAGCTGTGGAGCTGTGTCTGAAGCCCCCGCGCCGCTGGAGCCAAGCGGTGGCTGACCTGGAGCTGGGAGCTTCCTCAAGGGCTGTGGCGTACGTCGCATTAAGTACGTGATGTCCTTTGACTTTTCACATCGTGTTAATCTCGTCACAACCCTGAAAGGTTCTGTGGTGGTGGAGATTTTACACCATGTGACACCTGAATGCTTGTTAAGTTTAATGTATTTCCATACTGTGTAAATGAAACAAACAATTGCACACAAATCTCACTGTTGGGGGTAAACGTAGGGCAGAAATTGCCTTACCCCCTTCCACCCAACCCTCCAAAGGCAGCACAAGGCTGTTCCCTGTTCTTGCCATGGACATCTTTGGCTCCTGCAGAAATGTGCAGCTTTGCTGGTTTGAGTGGCGGGAGCCTCTCCTCCAGGCTGCGGTGAGCGACTGCTCCAGCAGGGTGGTGGGAAACGTGGCTGCTGGAGAGAAAGTTCTGCCGCGCGTGTGGTTAACACGAGAGGCAGCTCTGCGACCCTGGACTTGCCCCAGTTCATAGCCTGTCAACAGGGATGGCCCAGAGGAGACGCCACGTTCTCCAAGATGAACTTCCAGTTCTTCAAACATTTGCCCATGGGTCTCCAAAACACAAGCACCACTAGAAACGGGGAGGTGTTCTGCTGGCTGAACTGACCCCTGGAGAAGTCTCCTTCTCCACTGATTGCAGAGGGAGCCAGAAGCGAGGTAGCCAAGCCTGGCCTTGCTGTGTGTCATCTCAGAAGTGTGACTGTTCCTGTGCATCGTTAATATTTGATCATGCCTGGAACACGCGAACATGATGACAACATTTATGTCACAACTGTATGCATTTAATAAGCATCTCATTTGAATTATTAGTTAATGTACAAATCCCCCAGAAGTATTTTTATGTTATAAAACCCATAATTTATCTAAGTACAACCTGCAGGTTCGTAAATACAGCATTAAGAAGGTAGCTATTGCATAGCCAGTTTAACAAAATATCTTGTGAGTAAGATACATAGGCTTATTTGGAGAGGATTTAGCTACTGGGAGGAGGTCTTCTCCAAGTAAGTGATATGCTTCTTAGCTGCAGCAGACAGGGAATATAATTTCTTAGTTTGTCCTTCTTGTCAGTAGAAATCAGTCTGACCTGACTGTGCTGTCTGATTTGAGCATCTCCTCAGCTGTTCACTAGAGGCAGATTTATAAAACATCTTTACAGGAATGAGGCTGGAAGTGACATTTGGATTGAAAGGAGAGCTGGATTAGCTGCTATGCCAGCACGCTTACTAAAAAGGAGACAGTGAAAATACATGGCCTGAGGAGCCTTGTAAGTGATCTTTTGCCTCGCTCGGTGCGTGGCGAGTGCGTTTTGCGACTGCCTGGCAGCACCTTTGCCTGCTGCAGGAGGTGGGCAGCAACGCGTGGCCACTGCTGACGGACCAAAGTGCAGGCCAGCGCTGCACGGGAGGAGCCAGAACAGCGCAGCCTGGTCTGCAGGCAGGTAATGCTGAAAGGTGGAGCGGTTGTGCACAGAAGCCTTTTCCATTTACCCAATCTTCTTTCACGACCAGGGTCGGGCATCGCAGTCTTTCAAGGTAACGCTGCGAGGGCTGCTTTTTGTGCACACGCAAGTGGAAGATCGTGTGTTGCATCTTTGTGTGGACATGCACAGAAAAATAGCAGAAAATGTCTAAGCTGAGAAAGGCACGATTAACGGTGCCCTTACCAAGAGCACTTGCTGACTGTTTATCTAGTGCTGCCTGACTCTGCAGATTAAATTTGCAAGAACAGCGTTAAGGAGTATGATGGAAGGGAACTTAACCTCAAAGAAACTCAGCGGCCGACACTTCGTATGGTTGAATTGCATCTGAATCAAGCTCTTGATTAAATCTTAGCAATGTCAAAAGCTCAAAGCAGCAGTCGTAATTGATGCCGCTTTTTCCCCCCTCACACTGCTAAATTATCTATTGCAATGTGCTGCACATCCATGTCACTACATTAAATTTGTACACGAAGAAGAGGAGAGATCAGGCAATAAAGCCACAGGACAAACAGTGTAGCCAGGCACATCTTCTTGGCTTCGTTCACTGTTCTTGTGTGCTTTTAAAAAGTGTTTCCAAATCGGAATAGAACTGACTCCAGATGTGCTCATTTGAAGGATGCGAGAGTCACGCTAGCACCAAGACTATCAGAATTCTTGTGCTGTACCTGAAGAGAGACCTAGTCCCATCTTAAAAACAGAAGTGCTACAAACAGTAAAAAGGCCACAGGCAAAGGTTTTAGTGCTTCGTTCCCATTAGCATTCTTTTTCCCCACGTATTTTAGACTAACATAGTTAGAAAATTCCTCTGATGCTCCAGCACACTGTATCAGAGGTGCCTGATAGGATGTGGGCCGCTTGTCTGGGCTGTCGGGACTGGATCCATCTGTGGGCCTTTCGCCAATGTACAGCAGGCTGTGGTCTTTCGTGTCTTGCTCCGTTTTGAAAAGTTCATACTCGGTGTGGGGCAGCTTGATGCCCAAAGCCAGACATCCATTTGTGGGCGTTATATCCTGCTCCACCCCAGCACGCCAGGAGCTCGTCAGCCCGCAGCTTCCAGGCTCTGAGGAGTTCAGCATCATCACTGTCACCTGGTCCATCGCTGTCACCCGAGCCTGCGTGACTTTAAAAGCCAGCTCTGTGCCACCTCTCACTTTGGAGGAGGGGATGCCTTGGGTGTAATGCCCGGATGCGTAGATGGTGAAAGTCGGCTGTTTGCAGAGGGGGTCGGAGTAGTGATAGTAGTGACCCTCCCAGGTATGGTTGTTCCCGTGGAATATGAAGTACCTGGTCAGGAAAAGCACGGCGGGTCGGACCTCGCAGTGGGTGCTCACCCAGCTGCCGCTGAGCTGCATTGGGAGCTGAGCTCTGAGGGGCAGGATGGGCGGGTGGTGTTCGTCAGCTCTGTATATAACCCCGCAGGCCGGGCAAGGATGCTCGTGGTGCTGTGGAAAACAACAAAAACAACCAAACATTTTTTTTTTGTAAACTGATAGGCAAAACCCCCTTTCAGAATATCGAAAAAAGCTCAAACTCCCCTTTCTGGCACCAGGGCGTTCAACTGCAGTGAACTTGGCCCAAGACAGCCGAGCAGATTAAGTGAGATAAAGCGCTGCCCTGGCTCTTTGCTATTCTGGTACAGGGAAGGACAGAGAGGCTGTGCCCTGAGGCTGTGCCCTGGCTGAGGACAGGCTGGGATGGGGTGAGGGCAGGGCTGCTGGAAGGGCAGGAATCGCCGGATTGCTTCCCTGCAAGTTTTCCACTGCAAGCTGCTGCGCTTGGGGGAGGCTGGGGGTGCTGGGAGGTGTCAGCCGCACCAGGGCATTTCTGCACAGATTCAAAAAAACCAGGGTGATGGTTTTGGCCAGCGAAACCCTGCTGTGGCTGTACACGACAGCAGCCTCTCCAGGACAGCCAAGAGCACAGTGCATTCTGCTCCCCTGTCGTCCCTGCCCGTGCTCCTGCATCCATGACACAGGGCTGGGAGAGAGGGCGGCAGAGCGGGCATCGCCGCGGAGACGGAGGAGGAAAAGACCCGCTGCAAAAGGGGGACCTGACATCTGGTTCTGTGCTTCCGGCTGAGCTCTGAGTCAAACCAGTCCCGCAGCCCAGCCAGTGCCAGGAGGGCTTTTGTGTGGTTTGGAACTTTTTCTTCTACTTCATGTATCACAACTGATTTATTTTTAAATAACCAGGGTTCGAACATTATATCATTTTCTAGAACACGAGCTAATCTTTGCCGAGCTGTCGTACGCAACAAGGTTAAATAACTCAGTAGTTAACGGTAGGGTGGTAATTTACATGCGAGTTGATTGGAGTCTACTGTAATTTAGCCATTTTCAGCTTGCTTTACTGCTACTGTCACGTTAATGAGTGCTGACAGTACACAGTACATTATGGCTAAATAATCCCAGAAGCTGGCAAATATATATGCTCTCCTTAGACAGGAAATTCTTTGATAATGAAAGGTAATTTGGGGAGAACGGGTTTCTTTAAAACAGATATAAATTTAAGGGGAAAAGAATGATATTTTCATAAAGAGGGTTAAATAATTCCTCACAGAGTTGTGTGACTCTCAGTAGTGCAAGCAAATGGATGTTAGTTCAGGAAAAAAAAGAAAAATCCTGTCCTGTATAAAATTATCACTACAGCCATGGAGCCAAAACCCCTACTTGTTAAACCAGTCGTGTGAAGTTATTTCTAATGTATGGCAGCCCCTAATTATTGCCAGGTGGTGACATCATGCGCTGGTCCATTGGAGAGCTGTTAGCTGATTAATTACAGTGCTATATTCAGAGAGGGAATTTCAGTATCTTTAGGTTTGGTTTTCAATTAACTTCTAAAAGTGTTTATGTTTACCATCTGGTTTTGCTCATATATATGGTTTTGGCCCAAGATAACACAAGTTTAACCAATCTGAGAATGTTACTTTCAAGGGGCAGAGGGGTGTTGCTCTGTGTTTTTCAGAGCTCGGTGTCGTTCAGGGTGTTGGGAAATGTTGCCCACTAAATAAGGGTTTTTTTCAGTTAATTCAATTCTATCTGGTGAAGTTCAGAGAGGTTTTTTCACTCCATCTCACTGCTCAATCGTTTCTGAATTGATTAGCTACAATTCAGATAGAAATGAGCTTTCCTGGAAATAAACTAATCTGCTACAAAATAATACATAGAGATATTTATGTGTGTGTGTGTATATATATATATAAAAGAGAGGAAAGGAAAGGGAACCAATTCTCCTGCTCAGTTTTATTTATGTCAAAACAGGAGTTTGGTTTCTGTGCACTAACGTAATTGTATTCAGGGCAGCATCCTTTTCTAATGGCATTACAGCGAGGACTAATGACTTAATGGCAGCTGCTGCTTCCTCGCTCCTCTCTCAGCCTGAAGGCCCCAGTGAAGAGGACAGAGAGGGGAAGAAGACGAAGGACAGAGCAGCGGCATTTTAACAGCGAGGAAACCACACCTGCTCGGCAAAGCCCACGAACTGATGGAAGGACCGCGTAAAGGCAGCACCCTTACCACGGCGCTCTGCATCGGTCGCTGATAACCGGTGGGTCGGTAGTGGAGCCTCTCGGCCCACTCCGTGTGAATGTCCCCGAGGTACAGCTCCTCCACCAGCCGGCTCCCGCTCTGCTGCGGCTGCACCAGGGGCTGGTAATGCCGCTCCACACGCACCAGGCTGAGCTCATGCATGGCGAAGCCCAAGGTGGCGGTGCAGTCACGCTCCGTCTTGGCGCTCAGCAGTTCATAGAGGGCTCTGGGAGCCCAGGCGCGACCCGGGGACAGGAATCCACTGCAGCCCTTGCCGGAAGTGTGGTTGATCCGGGAGGCCACCTCCTGCATAGCTTTCTGGCTGTGGAAAACGATGCCGACTTTGTGGAGGTGGTAGTCGGCCTCGGTGGCCCCAAGAGTGATCCAGGAGGCCTGGCGCAGCCGGAGCTTGCCCTTGATGACCAGCGAGTAGGAGGGGTCGTGGCAGGAGGGGTCCCAGTAGTAGAACTGGTAAGCCTTGAAGCGTAGAAGAGATAGGATCGGGTGAGGAACTCAGGTCCCGGCCGCACCTCGCACCTGGAGAGGAAGGCAGTCCTGAGCCGCCCGGTGCTCGACCAGGGGGCTGCAGGGTGAAAACCCTCCCCGAGGGGCCTGTGGTGTGGGAGGAGAGCGCCAAGCGTGGGTGAGAGCAGCATCATGGGCACCTCCCACGGCTGGTGCCCATCCATAGGTGATTTTAAAACCTGGGCATGTGCTACCTAAACATGAAGGTCCCAGACACGGGGTCTTGTGCTTTGTGCCACAGCCCCATGGAGGAAAGCCAGGGCCAGGGGTATCAAGGCTGCTTTGCCCATTTGAGCCTGGTGTGCTCATCAGTTGCACCCTAAATGAGGAGAGAGGTGAGAGGCTCTACAGGTGCTTGAGGGGGCAGGCGTAGCACTGAGTAGAGGGCAGAAGGGGCCAGGCTTGCTTTTTGTTGCTCAGCTATTTGCTCTCTCCGTGGGCGGGAGGGCAGGGGCAGTGCAGAGGGGCTGGGCCGGGGGTGTCCGCCCGGGGTTTGGGGTGCGTTCCCGGGGCAGTGGAGGGTCCTTACC